GGGGGGGGGGGGGGGTATGCTTTTCAGTTGCGTATTTTACTTTTTATTTAACTCTAAGGAATACATTATCATATGGAAACAAATAGCATGTTTAACATTTTACAGTGTTGAACAATAAAATTATGTGGTCCATGGCATGAAATTATACAAGGTAGAACTTTGAATATTATAAAATTGCTTTGTAAATGCCTCGTGAGAAGTATTTTGTAGGACAACTTACTTCACGTTCTAATAGCTTAATCTGTATAAAGCTGCCTTTAAGCTTTGTGTTCTTCCTTATATATGACAGCTTTTTGCCTGTCATCCTTGGAGTAGAGAAGACCACCTCCTGTGATACTTGGGTTTCCCTTGTTGTGGTGTTTGGGGGTGTAGTTTGATGTCTCCGGGGGCAGAGAACAGTCTTGCTCAACTCATTAATGAGAGTGGTTTAACAAAAATCCAGAGTGAGGTGGGGGAGGTGAACAACAAACAAGAGTTCACTGTCACTTCTTGTCCAATAGCTAGGTAGGGCATTAAATGAGACTCGCAGGCAGTAGGTTCAGGACCAACAAATGCAACTACCTTCTCAGCAGTTAGGCTGTGGAACGGCTTGTCACAGGATGTTGCGGATGTGATGAATGGGTTTGCATGGATTTAGTCGTGATTTGACAGTTGCTACAGGGTTCATAGATACAGAAACATGATTTTCAATTGCATTAGTATTAAGGTTTGATCCTGGAATCACAGGGCTACAAGGGGACTTGGAAGATTATAATGCAGTCTGTGGTTTTAGACAATAAAAGCTTTGATAGAGTTTAATTGATGAAAATAATTTTATAAATAATTTGTCTTTTCTTCACTTGTCCAGATCAGATGAAGTTACAGATGACACGGCCAAAGTCAAAACAGTGCATGAACTGATGAGAAACATCATTGTCTTCTGAGAACATAAGCTTCCTAGTTGCTGGAAATCCTAAGTATGACTTTACTACAAAAGAGACCCTGACCTTATGTGATCATTGAGCAGAGTTTGCAAGAATGGAAAAGGAAAGGACCCTGCTAGCTGCATCTCATAAATAAAAATTTCCAAGATTCAGCTGAATTGAAAAATTATTCCAGCCATGGGAGAAAATGCAAGTTTTTGGGAAAGTTTGATATATGCACATCCTACATGTACCACCTGGAAGCAGGAGGCAGAAGGATCTATCTACCACCTAGCTAGTATTCTCTTTGTTGTGGGCTTCATGGGTGGAAGTGGATTCTTTGGGCTTCTCTATGTCTTCAGCTTGCTTGGATTGGGCTTTCTCTGCTCTTCTGTTTGGGCTTGGCTGGATGTCTGTGCTGCTGATATATTCTCCTGGAATTTTATACTGTTTGCTATATGCTTCGTCCAGTTCATTTACGTTACCTACCAAGTTCGGAGTGTTTCCTTTGACAGAGAATTCCAGGAACTCTACAGCGCTCTCTTCCAGCCTCTGGGAATTTCCTTGACTGTCTACAGAAAGATCGTCTTGTGCTGCGATGCAGAAGTGGTTACCCTGGAGAAGGAACACTGTTACGCCATGCAGGGCAAAACACCTATTGATAAACTGTCCTTGCTTGTGTCAGGCAGGTTTGTATCAGTTTGTTCAGATTTACTGCAAATATCTTTATTTTTTCCTCCTTCTTGAAAATGAAAACAAAACCAAAAAAACCCCGATTTGTGTATTGTTTGTTCATTTTCCAGTACAATAGATTAAATATTAATACAAGTAATATAAATATTAATAGGCTAAATACACTTGCTAGGACAGCACTAGCATAAAAACACTAAGCACAAAATCTGTAATAGCATAAAGAAAAGGATTTTAAGTCATTCTTTTCCAGACCACTGTATCATAGCACTTAACAGGTTAGTCAGATAAAGGGAACAAATGTGTGCTTCAGTCTTCAGGCTGTGTCTTGCTATCTGTCTACTGCTTAGCTGATGAACACATCATCTTTCTTATTTTACTTTGCTGGTATCATCTAAAACAGAACTAAAAGTAGTTATAAAACCGAATATACTGAGATAAACTCTGTTTAATAGAGATCTTGGTTTTGATACAGATTGTATTTGGTTGCTTTCTGGGGGGTTGGAGAAGAGAGGGAGTAAGGGAGAGCAGAAGGCCTAAAAGCACCATTCCGTTACAAGGAGATGTAGTCGAGCCCTATCAGGATTTGCAGAACTGAGTCTACAGTTACTTTATACTGTGGCCCTTAGACTCTGAGGCAATAAATCCACTGCCTGTACTCCCTGGTTACTGGATACCCTTCTGCCAACCTTGCTGGTGCTTTCCTGAAGGGAAATGAGCTTTTGTACTGTACACAAAGTGGTATGCAGTACTAGACCACCATAAGAGTAGATGGGATACCCAGAGAGGATGGCCATGGTCTGTCTTTGATGGGACACTTTGTAGGTGCTTTTTTGACACCCTGCTGCATGGACAGATGGAATTTGTAGGCAGCTTGATACTCAGCTGATTTAGAAATACTTGCAATAAACAATATGGGGTTTAGGTTGTCGTCCTTAGTGACGCCCTGGTTCAGAGAGCATTCCTGGGAGCTGTCTAGAAAGTACCACCTGGAGGTTGCTTTTGGTCATGGTCATACTGAAGGAGAGGTGTCCATCCTTCTACCTGCCCAGCCAGTTAGTAATCATGCAGGGAGTTTCTGCTACCCTCCTTCGTGCAGTATCGGACTGCTGCGTCTGATTTTTGTAAGAAGCATTAGTCTCAGCGCAGAGCAGATGTAAAAAGGGTACTCCTATAGTTTGTGGTTTTTTTCTCTTAGCTCCCAAGTTTCAAGCATGCCTTTCTTGCTTGTGTGCCTTCAAACTTAAATATGATTTAAGAAGTAGAAAGAAAATTTTTCTTTGGCATCTGCAGAAAGCCACAGCATTCACACAGAGATCCCATACCTCCGGCCTGTTCTCCTGGCTCCAAAGACAGTCCTGTGGCCATGTAATTGCTGTTAAACATTGAGAGAGCCCTACCTAACCTACGACCTGGGGAACTCCTGCTTCCCACTCCGGGCTTTTGCAATTTTGTTCCCTCTAAAATGTATATTTTCCAAACCTAGAAGTATATCCCGTGGCTTTCAAGTGAAGGAAGCAAACGGTGTTACATGCATTAGTCTTTCACCTCTCCAGTGCATGCTGGCCTTATCATGAGAAAGCTCACATGTCACTGCATGGACTTTCCCCAGAGAGAATAATATGACTTTAATAAGGCCTGGAAAGACTTCCATTTCGATTGCACAATTGTCTTGTATTGTCTTTCAACTGACCTGATCAAGTTGGGTTCAAAAATGTAATTAGGGTACTGTTGGCCAGTGATTGTTTTTTCATGCTCTCAAAGCTATATTTAAACTCCTCACAAAGGAGAAATAACACATCTTGTTGCAGTCATTGCTGCTGTACAGGTAATACTAACAAATTAACACATCTTATCTTGGTAGGATCAGAGTGACAGTTGATGGGGAGTTTCTGCATTATATTTTTCCTCTTCAATTTTTGGATTCTCCTGAATGGGATTCACTGAGGCCCACAGAAGAGGGAATTTTCCAGGTAAAAGTGGAGGCTTTTTTTTTTTTTAAATACTACAGAAAACTGTTCAAGCACTCATTGGTTTAGAAATAAGTTAATTTAGTTGTGGGTTTTGTTTGTGAAACAAAAACTTGGCAAGGGAAGTTCTCTTTACCCGCTGGACCGGTTATGCTGTTTGTATCTTCTGTTTGCATCTTGTTGTTACATCAAAGAAGGTTTTTCTTAAAGCTAATCTGGGAGGCAGACTGTTTGCATTCTTTGGCTGTGCTAAAATCCAGCCCTGAGAAACCAGGTTTGCAGGAGGGGGGTGGAAGTTGGTGCTGAAGAGGCTTCCCTACAGGGGGTGAGCCAGAGAGCACAGGCTGGGGAAAGCCGTGCCTGTGGTAGGGCTTGGCGTGGGGGGACAGCATGGGACACGGTGTCTGTGGGGGCTGCCCCCTGTCATCTGTGAGCCCTGCCGCTGCTGGCACTTGACTGACATGCTGTCCTCTGCCTGTGTGGGATCCAATGTCCCATGTCATGACGGCAAATGACATTTGTCAAGAGCTTTCTTTAGACCTGCCTTTCAAGCTGGGGCTGCCAAGAGCGAAGCAGGGAGTGCAGGGCCAAGGCTGGGGTGCGCCATCAGCGTGTGTCCCAGCTGGGGCTGCTGCTCAGTGTGGGCATGGGCATGCTGTCACTGAGGCTGACAGGACACAATCATTTGGTCTGTTCCCAGTCACCCTTCTCGCTTGTCTTTTGCATACAGTAGACCTTGCAGAGTGCTTTGGCTGGAATGGCTTTAATTGCAGTAGGTGCAAAGATGCAAAGTGTACGTTACAGACACAGCCCGTGTGCTTGCTGAGAGAGTGGAGCGCTTTCTGAGCAAGGGCAGCAGCAGCAGTATCACTGCCTTATCGCCTAGCTAATTTTAATTTTCTCTTCTATAGGTAACACTTACAGCAGAGACAGATTGTCGGTATGTGGCCTGGAGGAGAAAGAAGCTGTATCTGCTGTTTGCTAAACACCGTTTCATCTCCCGCCTCTTCTCAATTTTAATTGGGAGTGACATTGCTGAAAAACTGTATGCCTTGAATGACAGAGTGCATGTGGGGAAAGGCTTTAGGTATGACATTCGGTTACCAAACTTCTATCATGTTTCATTGCCGGAGACCCCTCCAGTGCAGCTCTCCCACCACCTCCAGAGAGGGTCCCCCCGGCGCAAGCCCATGGGGGTTACAAACTGCAGCTCCTTCAGCACACAGTCCTAGGAAGGAAAACTCTGCTGCAGCCATTCCCCAGAGCAATGAAGGGAAAATGCAAAGTGGTGAAGCAGAGGAGCAGAAAGATGGAGCAGAATGAGACCCAGTCAAGCCAAATTTGACTGATAAGTGCCATTTACTTTCATTGGAGTAGCTTGAATTCTTCTTCTCTCTAGAGCCAGCGGGTTGGCTTCTGCATTTTGACTGTTTGTGCAATATGTTTAGCTTCTGTTGTTTCGTTTGTTGATCTTCATCTCCTTACTTTTGGAGGAAAACGAATCATAACAGGCTGAAGTTTTATTGTAATTGTGGTAGTCTCTGTATTGTATTTTTTAAAAAAACCCAGACCCATGGTATTTGTAATCATACTTTCTCAAAATGATTTGCCATAACTAACTATAGTCAATATAGTCAATGAAAACAAGTAAGTTGTCTTCAGAATACAGCAACTTGTTTGTAACATTCATATTTATGCCACATGAACATTGTTGCTATTAACATGAAGAATAATGCAGAAAAAGACTAAGAGACCAATTGTATGGGTTTGGGTTTTTAAAGAAAGGAAAGATTTTGAAATGCACAGCAAGATTCTTTAAAAAAAAAAAAAAAAAAAAAAAGGTTTCTTTCTGACTGTCCTAAAGAGGTATTATGTGAAAACAAACATAAATGTAATTGCTGGCATATAGAAATGTAACTGCTACAAATATAGCTTAGGGAAATGATTGTATAGTGTTTTCGATAGAATGTGATGCTATAAGACCTAGGCTTCCACAGTGTCAGTGCCATTCGTGACATGTACGGTAAATACTGTTAGTCAGTCAATTGACAAACTATTGGAATTTGTTTTACAATATTCTTTTTAGACAGGTTTGTCAGGAAGAAACTAAGAAACAACTGCAGCAATAAATACAATTTTTAACCAAAACATTCTTGTTTAGCTTCCAGAGTCACTTTTTGGTGCCTGTGTCTTGATTTAAAAGGTATTCTCTCTCTAATTCTGTGGTGGTTTAATGGCAGAAGGGAGCACCAGCTCATGCTTCACTAGGAGAAAACTAGTTTCGACCCTTGAGGTCACTCTGCCTTTGGGGAGAAGTATCCGAATGTCTTTGTTAACTCACCTTCCTGCTGCTATGCCTGATGCCTGCCAGTAATGAAAAAATAAGAAGCATTACTATTTTATGAGACTGTAATACTACTTGATATATCTGGAGGTGTATCACATTTTTAATATTTTAAAATTGCTGGACTGTTTGGTAGGACAACCATTGTGTGTATATGTGCAGGTATATATATTTGAGTTTAGATTTTCGGAGTTGTTGCTGAAGGATTTAAAACAATGATACAACTTCATGCTTAAAGATAATCATGCAGTATGTATAAGAATGCCATTAGAAGTAATATGAAACACCACCTGTTTGAAGGACCTTCAGTGTAGAGCAGGTAATGTTCTACAAGTTTTGCTTTTAGCTTTATGTCCCTTTCTCAGAGAGGAAAATTTGCCAAACATAAATACCATAGCGTGCAATGTGATAATCCCAAAATCCTTCTAATAACCCTTCCATGCGGTGTATTCTGTATGTATTACTTAATGCATGAAGCCCCTGAGTCAGAAAGCTACTTTGTCTTGGTCAAAAGAATTGAAAAAATACAAACAGAGAGTTCATTGATGGCTGTTAAAGACTGGCCCAGAAAATAACTAAGGCATAAAGTGCCAGAGGCTGGCAGTGTGTAGTAAAGATGTACGGTTCTGTGTGCCATTTTCCTATACTTTTCATGGTTAAGGGACAGGATAGCAGGCTACCTGACCCCTTGGTATGATTCAGCATGGGTACTCTCATGTAACTTCAGCACTGTGATTAGTATCATGTCTTATTTGTCAGTGGTGCCTGAGGTGGCTAAGAAGTGTGTCATATCTCGTGGATGTGGTCACTTAAGCTGTGCCTCATGATCCCCATGCTGCTTCACCCAGTTGAGCTGCTCTAAAAACCTTACACTGTTTTTTTAACAGGTGATTTAAAAATAGACCCCATCTGTCATTCTGATAAAGTAACAAAACTTTATAATTTTACTCATGCTATAACATGTGTTGGACCAATATGAAGTTTATGCTTAATGTTTTATATGTTAACAATCTACGAACATAAGAAGATTATAGTCTAGAAACATAAAAGATGTGTTATTCTAGACTTAGGTGTAATATAAATCTTCGATTAATGCTCTCCTTGGTTTTCTTGAATATATAGGCTTGTCTCTCCTCTAGGACACATCTGACTCAATATCTGAAATCTTTACTAGGACAAGTCTGAGTCAATACCTGAACTCTTAGCTAATCTTGTTTAGCTTTTGCTACTGTGCTTTTTGGGCTTTGAGTCACTTTCAAAAAATTGTTTTCAGTTTTCTAGCATATGTTTGAGTCATGACTAGCAGAACATTTCAGCTGTAGAATTCAGAGCATATATATCTACAATAATATAAGTACACACAAAAGGACTGGAGGCAAGACAGCAAGCGCTCTCCACCTCTGTTTTTTTAAAATCTTGACAGCATGTCTAAAACATACTGTAAAATACACTTGGGTATGTGACTCATAAACCAATGTTTTGAGAGAGCTGTATAATCCACCTAAGTAAAGATGAACTCAGACTGATGTCAGTGAAATAATGCAAGCTTCTGTGATACCATGTACACCCAGTCATTAGAGAGTTGGGGTTGTTCAGCCTGGAGAAGAGAAGGCTCTGGGGAGACCTTATAGCAGCCTTCCAGTACTTACAGAGGGCCCACAGGAGAGATGGGGAGGGACTTTTTATCAGGGAGTGATGGGATAGGATGAGGGGTAATGGTTTTAAACTGACAGAGGGTTGATTTAGATTAGGTGTAAGGAAGAAGTTCTTTACTGTGAGGGTGGTGAGACACTTGAACAGGTTTCCCAGAGAAGCTGTTGCTGCTCCCTCCCTGGCAGTGTTCAAGGCCAGGTTGGACGGGGCTTTGGGCAACCTGGTCTAGGGGAAGGTGTCCCTGCCCATGGCAGGGGGGTTGGAACTAGATGATCTTTAAGGTTGATTCCAACACAAACTATTCTATGAGTCTATGATTATTTATAGGTTAGTAAACATTTGGAGCTAGATGAAGCTCTGACTTGAGCATCATCCAATTTATGCCTATGTTATTACTCAGGAATAACTGTCAGTGAGGTGGTCAGACTCTTTCATAACAGGTTTAAGTGAAGGGCTACTTGAGTCCACGCTGCTTTGTGAATTGAGGAGACTACCAATTAATCCTCTTCTTGATCTGCAATGATTCCCCTTTATTCACATTTTACATTTTTATCACCTTCATAATTTTCGATGGGGTTATGTCTACATTTGTGTACTGTTATGAGAGCAGCAGAATCTGGTGTATGTGATGATTTGGTGATTCTTCAGCATCAGTTGATCTTCCAGAGTTTTTATAATTGTGCGCAACATGCTGGAATCATCCTTACAGCCTGCAGAAGGGTTCAAATTTACTGCACAAACTAAAAAAATACATGGCCTAGCATAGTCCAAAGAGGGGAAAACAAAACAAAACAAAAAAACACTCAACTTCTTGCAGGTTTTATCCAGGAGAGGTTTATTTTAAATTGGTCTTAAGGCAAATTCATTTATTGGATGTAGAGATGTATTGTGAGAGCTTCAAAGCAAGTCTTGCCTATTGAGGGGAATGGAACTGATCTTGCAATTCTTTCATTAGGTAGTATTTTCTTAACTAGTAGTAGTATAAGTAAAGGTAACATTCTAAGTGATTTTTTAATCCATCATACAACTCCACTCAAAACTACAGAATAACCAGAGAGAATGTATTCCATGTACAATGTATTATAACTAATAATGCTATGTAAGGCAAATCGTAAGTGCTTAATGAAAAATATTATTTTATGCAGTTGACTGTGATAACAGAAGCTGGACTTGGTGACTGAGAAGGGCCATCCCAGTCCAAAATTTTCAAGAATTAATTGGCCTGCAACAAACCAGAAAATGTGACAGTGATCAAAAGAAACTCAGTAATAGAAAGAATGATGCCAAACTATACATATAGATATATGACTTCTGCTAGGATAAAGCTGGGAAAGCTGAATACATGCTTGGATGAAATTGTGTAGTTTTGCCACACCACAAAAAAGGCATAAGCTTGCCGTAATTAAATAATATGTTGATGCTACTTTTCCAGCAAAAAAGTGCTCTACAGTTTTTAATTATTGTAAATGATAAATATAAGATGTATTTGGGCTCAATATACATGAAAAATTAAAATATAATGTTGTACTGCTTATATATTGCAAACCATATGTTAAAATGAAACAAATCCATAGCTATTTAGATATAATAGAAGAAAACTATTTAAAATTAATATCTATTTGTTGAATTCAGGCATTAACAAATGAAATATTTTTCTTTCTATTCCTGTAATAACTGAAGGCATATTCTTCTGCTCTCAAAGTCTATAACAGATATTTTTTACAGTACAACAAAATAAATACCTTAAACTGATTTGTTAATCCTTCTTGAAAATACTTACACTGATTACATTAATATGCATAAAAATATAATATGTTCGAGGGTCCCAAGGGAAAGCACCCTTCTGTTTGTCTAATTCACGTTAACTTTCCTTTCTAGTAGATTTTTGTGTTTCTGCTTACTCTAATTCTACCTCTGTGTGAATCGAAAGAGTTAATTGAACTTAACATGTAAATCAAGCCACCTCATCCTGATGAATCAAACCGTGTAGGTGGAGCTTCATCAGCAGGAGCATGTAGGAGAAAGGCAGCGCAACCACATCATCTGTGAGCCCCAGGATTTAGGGTCACGTCCCAAACTAAGGCTGGCAAGGCCCTTCTAGAAGGCAGCTTTGCAGGCGATTCTGCCCGCAGAGGGTTTGGACCCAAATCATCACTCTGCAAGCCACAAATGCTGTTAAATGTTGTCATGGACCGGGAAAAAGATGGGGCGTTCACAAAAAGCTTGTGGGATCAGAAGGATTTTATAGCAGTTAGTCTTCTGCTGTGGATTTCCAGGCAATTTTATTCAGTTGTCAGTTCCACCATAGCTCCTAATTTAAGGGATCTATGGTGTATTGTGGGGACAGGACTATTTCCCTACTTTGGTGAGGTTTTGAAGATAAATGATGATAAAATATAGGTGATTAAAAACCCAGACACTAAAGTTATATAAATAAACAACTGCAATAAAATAATGGTAGTAAAGAATTATGTTAGCAGTGAGTCCCATAATTTTAAATATATCCTATCCACTAGTAACTCTCTATCCAAACTTGTCTGAAACCTGGGGGATGTAATAATTTTCTGCAAATAAGGTATGCTAGACTGAGAAAGACACTGAAGCCAAAAATCCATTTCAAGGATAAATGCTCTATGTCACTGTATAGAGGTGGGCAGCACCATCACCTTCTGTAGCAACTGCATGTCATAGACAAGCATTAAAGCATCTCAGATCTGTGAAAGGAGGTGAGCGGGTCCCTGTGGCCAGGCAGGGATTCTGGCTGGATGATCCTGAGTAGCT